GATCATAGTGAAGAATGAGACTAGGGAGGTTATGGGTGGTGGACCTTGAACATCACTGAATACCGGGCTGGGAGGCTGCGCTTCATACAAAGGGCACTGGGGGATCATGAGCGGTGTTAGAGAGGGGGAGGCATGATCAGGCTTGTGTTTTGGGACGGCCTGTTGGAGGTCCTGAAGCTAGGCAATCAGGCAGGGAGTCAGGCCACGTCCCCGATGGACAGGATGAAGCTGCAGCTTCAGGGCGTACGGCCACACGTGGAAGAGGGCCTAGGTGGTTGGAGAGTTATTGGAGAGGAGGGAAGAAGCCCCAAAAAGAGGGGTTATTGGAGGAGGTAGCCCTCAGAAAGAAGCAGGCCTGGCCCTGCCTTCAGTCTCCCAATCTAGTTGGGGCAACAAAGAAGATCATCTTTAAACCCAGCGATGGCCCCTCTCCTCCAAAGCCTCACTGCCGTCAAGTAAATTCTGACTCACAGCAACTCTGTAGCCACCAGTTTAGCTTAATTCATACAAGCTCCTGCCCTGAGGCTTGTGTGCCTTTGAAAAGCTATCTCTGTGGGATCGAACTGACCACGGCAACTCGAAAGGGCAGATGAGACGCTGAGCGAGCTGTGAGTTTACGTTATGAAAAGATAGCGAGACTGGTGGTTCAACTTGACCACCGTCATCCATGTCATTGAGCTCCCACGTAGACAGGGCTGAACTGGTGCGTCTTTTGCTGTGTCTACTTTCACAAAAAGTAACGTAAATGTATCCGTATATCAGGAAGGTGTCTGTCCGGGGCGATTCCTAAAATGAGTGCTGACTTAAACGACTAAGTTGTTTGTTGGTTTGTTTGAATGTGTAGGGTGTGCCGCGGAGCGGAAGGAGCTCAGGGAAGAGGACAAAACACTCCCGATCCTGGCAGACTTCCTGAAGGAAGGGGTACGTGAGCTGGACGTTGAAGGGGGGAGGAGGTGGCTATGTCAGACTAGAGCTCGTGGGCGCCTGAGGGGAAAGAGACCAGAAGGAAGTGTGTGGACTGGTGTGTGGTTGAGAAGGGTGAGGTTCGTGACCCGGGAGGGGGAGAGAGCTTCCTGAAGGGGAGTTGAAGGTGAATTTTAGTTTATTCTTTGACCTCTCTGTGTGGGTTGCTATGACCACACACTAGGAGTCGCTGGGACAAGGACCCAACTCGCACCAAAAGGTTGGGAGTTCAAAACCACCCAAAGGTGATAATAATATATAATAAGAATCGTAAGGGTTCTGAGGGGGTGGAGGAGGGGCAGGAGAGGATCAAAGGGAGCGGATATCAAAGAGTTCAAGAGGAAAGAAAATGTTTGGAAACTGATGGTGGTAGCAATTGTACAATTATGCTTGGTCTAATTGAACTATGGAATGTTATAATATCTGTAAGAGCTCTCAATAAAATGATCGACTGGGGGAAAAAAAACCAAAGGCACCTGGGCAGCAAGATCTGGCTCTCTGCTGAGAGTCACGGCCTAAACCCCACAGGAGTACCGCGCCACCACGGGACGCACAGAGGAAGGTGCCAGTGGACAGCGGGGAACGGGAGACACGGTTTGCCCTCAGACACAGAGGGACCAGAGCTTAGCTAATTAAAGCACGAAGATGCCAGGGGGTTGAGGAGGATGGGCGTGGCTGCACCTCAAAGAGTTGGAGGCACAAGCCTACCCAGGAGCATGTTTGGAAGAGAGGCCAGGAGACGCAGCCATTGGCACCCTGAGGGAGCACGTCTCCACTCAGACGCCCAGGGGGTCACCATGAGTTGGCATCAACTCAACAGCACCAGGTGTTCCTCTGTTTCCAAACATTGTGATCAAATCGTTGCCCTTGAAAAGTTGGAGGAGGGGCCGGGTCCTCCTCAGGCATGACTCACTGTGTTCCAGATGATACTACGAGGCTGAGGGGAGTCGGAGCGGGCCGAGGGGACATCTAGCCCCGACAGCAGCAGCAGGCGAGGAAGGCGGCTGGCCACACCAAGCAGAGCGCTGGGCTGGGTGAGGCCAGGCGGTGAGCCCGATCCCTGCCCTCACCTTGCGATCCAGGTTCAGCGGCTTCCCCAGGAGAGGCAGGGTGATGAGCTTCTTGGTGCCCTGACTCCAGGCCCCCGAGAAAAAGTCGGCCAGGACACCATGCCGCTTGACTCCCTCGGGCCCGGACAGGTAGCGCTCCCGGACCGCCTCGGCCAGCTGTCTGCAGAGAGGGGACACGGTCAAAACAGACCTGGGGAAACCCGTGAGTTCAGAGGTGGCCACCGGCCTTCCTGGAGATGTTTCCAAGCCCCTGTGCTCTAAGGCAGCTTCGGCACTGTTTGTTTTGTTTATTAATTGTTGTGAAAATACAAACGTTTGTCAGTTCAACATTTGGGGGGTAGACGATTTACATCAATTTTCATGATCATGTTATAGCATGTTCTCTTCAAGGGGTATTACTGCTGACGTCAGAGGGCTCTCGGCTGAAAGCAGAGCGTATCAGATAGATGCGTACTCATTGGTTATGCATCTGGTTAGGCAGACAAACATCGCAAGAATGGGAATTCCCAGACGCTTCATTGTGCTGCTGCAGAACCTGTACCCAGACTGACCCCAAGAACAGAAAAGGGAGCACTGCTCCCCACCACTGAGTCGATTCTGACTCAAAGCGACCCCATAGGGCTGGGTAGAGCGGCCCCTGTGGGTTTCTGAGACTCTTTGCAGGAGTGGAAAGCCTCGTCTTTCTCCTGCAGAGTAGCTGGTGGTTTCAAACTGCTGACCTTGCAGCTAGCAGTTCAACACATAGCCACTGAGCCACCAGGGCTCCTAAAGGAAGGCCACATGTTTTAAAATCAGGAAAGGGGGGGGGGTGTGAGCGGTATCCATTCCCCGGACGTCAAGCTACGTTGAACAAATCATCCAAGAAGCTGGATGAGACCAAGAGGAACTTGGCTCCAGGCCGGGAGGAAAGCTCCTTCACCGCCTGCGCTCTGCAGACGAAGGGCGTGAGGCCTTACTCGTGAAGATCCAGGCCTGCAGCCTTCCGTGTGGATTACAACGAAAAGTTACGAAACCCCAAACCCACACAATGGGACCAGTAGATAACATCTTGATAAAGGGAGAGAAAAGATCGATGGCGTCCAGGATTGCACCCTGCTTGGGTCCACAGTCCATGCTCATGAAAGCAGCAGCCAGGAGATCAAAGGATGCCTCGCAGGGGGGAAATCTGGTGCACCAGACCTCTTTGAAGTGTTGAAGAGCAAGGATGGTACCTTGGGGACTCGGGTGTCCCTGACCCAAGCCATGGTATTTGCAGTCACCTATGCATGTGGACGTTGGGCCATACAGAAGGAAGGCTGCAGAGGAATCGGTGTGTTTGTATCATGCTGTCGCTGAAGAATAATGAGTCTCACGGACTGCCCGGAGACAAGACAATCTGTTTTGGAGGAAGTGCATCCAGAAGGCTCCGTAGAATCGATGATGGCGAGACTCCGTCTCACGTCCTTTGAACATGGGATCAGGAGGGACCCGTCCCCGGAGAAGGCCATCATCCTTGGGAGAAAGACGAAGAGTCTCAGTGAGCTGCATGGATGCAGCGGCTGCGGCGACGGTAACAACAGCTGTGAGGATGGCGCAGGACGCGGCCGGTGTTTTGTTGGGAGCTGACTGGGTGGCAGCTAACGACAACGGCCATCCTGCATGATTGCTGCCAAGTGTCTCGTCACGATGAACAAAAGCACAGGGCTTCCTGAAACAATGACTCTCCTCGCCCCCTCCCCTGACTCCGGTCCCCACAGTCAAACTGTGGTCTCCGAGCAGCTGCCGATCCCTGCCATTTCACATCAAGGAGACGGCACGGTTTCTGCCCTTTGGTGATGGAGGAGGCGGCTTTTCAGACTCCTCCGCGCTGTCGCGAGGATCAGGACGTTGTCTTCACGACTGCGCCACAGCCCAGGCGTGGCTGCGCGGCCATCATCTGCGGATGGGCATTTCAGTTGTCTCCCCCTTTGGGCTCCTGTGACCAGCCCGTGCGTGCGCATTAGTGTGCACGGAGTCACCGCCATCGCGTTGATGCCGACTCCGCGGTGCCACGGGACAGGGTCGAAGTGGTCCTGTGAGCCTCCGAGACGGTCACTTTGTGGAGGAGAAGCCTCGTCTTTCTCCCACAGAGCTGGCGGGCGGTTTCTAACTGCTGACCTTGCAGTTAGCAGTCCAATGGGTGACCACTACTCCTCAATGGCTCCTATCAGGGCGCCCACTATTAATATCTATCTTTGACTCGGCCAGCCTGCTATCGTCTTTGTACATTTACGTTAAAATGGAATGCGGGGGCTTCTCCATAAATTAAGCATAGAGTTGTCACATGACCTAGCAATTCCACTCCAAAGTGGAGACCCGAGAGAATGAACAGCACATGTTTCAACAAAAATGTATTCATTCATGTCCATAGCAGCAGTGTTCACAAGAGCCAAAACAGCGGGAACATCCCAAATGTCCACCGACAGAGGAGTGGATAAACTCAGTGTGATTCATCCAAGCAATGGAATACTACTCAGC